GGTGTGCGTCGGGGGCAGTCGCGTAGTAGAATATTAAACGTGTTTAATATTTCTCACGACGGCTTAAGACTGTCCTCGACGATAAATCGGGTCGGGCTGCGTCGGCCGACGCTGTCTGAGTTGGCCTTTACATATTGTTATTAATGTCTGACAAAGTGACAGTTTAAACATACGTAAACACGTGTGCTTCTAGGACGCGCGCGTGTTTCTGGCCATGTTCTGATTGGTCAGTTACTAGATATTGACGCTCCCATAAGGTCCATTATTACTAATACCAAAGATAGTAAATAGCAGAAGATAGAGCAGCTTCCCAATATAGTGGAACATGCGTTCCAAAGGCAGTGTAGGTACACGGAGAGCAATTTTACCCCATCCGCGCGGCGGCGCTATATAGAAATAATAAACAGCAATAAAGGCGCCGCTCTGGTTCGTTTGTTTCCTGTAGTTTCTCCACTTAATAAAATGGTCAAATTTTACCCCATTCACGGGAGGGCGGATGTTCCATCAATTTTAATGTAAATACGCGGGAACAGCTCATTCTTCTGCTATTTAAGTTCTTTGCTAATACTACTATACTCTATATTAAATCAATACACGCTATATGTCACTCATAGCTACCAAATTAATCTTAATGTTCTAATACATTGGTGTCAATGCCGTAGCCAGCTATTGGGACAGTTCCACACAATTTTTCTAATGGGTCCACATTTTTAAAAATTGGTCCAAATTATGTAATTTTATGCATAAAATGGGTCACTTTTTGAAAAATTGGTCCAGATTTCTCATATTTAGCTTAAAACGGGTAAAATTTTTTTAAATAGGTCCAGATTTTTCAGATTTTTGCGTAAAATGAGTCCACATTGTTTGAATTTACGTGTAAAGTGGGTCCACCCTGATATTGCCCCGCACTGTTTGAAAATCCTGGCTACGGCTTTGATTGGTGTGTTTTTGTATCGACATAAAAAGTGTTTGATTATTCAGAGAGGCCAGGGAACAGTGTAGGCCTGTTGTAATAAACGTGAGTAAAACTTGATTTCGGCGCCCACCGTGCTCAGCCAATAGAGGGCGGAATAACATCAAGAATCAATCTGAAATGTGTCCCTGCGTTTTTATCAGGAAACCGTTGGCATATTTTTACCATTAATATCATTACCACCAACAATTGCAGCTTTAAACAGAAGATATAATCACCCAAAATGTATTCACTTATTCATTTAAGCCATTGGAGCCTCTCAATGTCAACTGTAGTTGTTATACGAAATACACCGAAAAACTCAATGTTGGTTTCGACACGTTCTAAGCACCAACTTGTACGCGTACCTCTAGGTCTACAAGTACCGTATTTTTGAGGCGTACGATGCTCGTTTCTGATGGGCCTGATGAACAACGTATGAAATCTGACTCAATATCACTCGTAATTCGTAATAGAGATGTCCTATCTCTTTTATGTTGTTTTAGTTTAGTGAAAATTGCTATAGGCTGCATGAGAAAAAAAAAAACATTAATAATTTGACTGACATATTTTTAAGCATGGTTTCCATAAAATTGCTACACTGCAGGTACAGCGTTTTCACTGAAATCGTTCCCCGATTCGACTTACTAATCAGAGTCGCAAAAATTTGTCAGCGATAGCTTGTAGCAATTTTATGGAAACCAGATTTAACTCGCTTATTTATGCCAAACTAGTGAGGATGCGTTGAATGAGCAAAAACGTTGCGCACATGTAGGCATACTGTGCAACAATGGCTTAATAGTTAAGCATGCCAGCTAGGCCTACCATTACCATTAACGTTGTATTGATGTTACGGACCTGTAATCTCTTGAAATTAATAACCAGTGCCTTAGTTTACGTTTTTTGGTATAATTATGAATACGATAGTCTTAAATATTGATGAACAATAACGAATTATCAAAATTATTATCTTCCATAATATTATTTATTAATTTGTTTCCAAAATAGTTGTGTGATACGTATATATTTTTTATAAATTTGAGCGTTTCGTTAACTATCAATAATTACTATGGAGATTCAGCAAGAATTGACAGTGCTGAGTGTTACCTGGTGAAGTTATTAATAAGTATATTAATTAGCTAATTGCTCGATGTGTGGGCGATGTACGCAGAGTTGAAATTACAAATACTGATTTGTTATGGAGTCAATTTTGATTATGTGTTTATAATGCGGTGCTTATAAAGTGCTGTGTAATGCCAGCACGTGGGGAAGAAGGGAAAGATATATAATGCAGGGGCGGATTTGGGGGGGGGGCCGGCCCGGCCCCGGCCCCCCCTTTTGGGAAGTCAAAAAAGAAAAAAAGAAAAAAAAGAGGGAAAAAGAAAAAAATAATAGCCTAGAATGTCTCAAATGTTATGTTCGGGCGTCTAGAACACAAAAATTTCGCGGGGGCAAGCCCCCGGACCCCCTACGACAGTGTTGTCTCAATCGGCCCAACTTTCGGCCCCCCCTTTTGGACATTTCTGGATCCGCCCCTGTAATGAACATTTCTCCAATCATTGTAAATTGTGAACGCACGAGATCTGGGGACTCATAACCGTAAGATCAACATGGCCATTTGTGGCAATGGCTAACGTTCGATTCAGCTGATTTTCAGTTGCAAAAATATTCACGGCAATTATATAAAACATACCAACAAGCAGAATCTATCACAATACCTTGTAAGCTATCTAAACATAAACAAAAAATATAAATAGAAGGAAGACAGAATTGCTACTCTACTTGAAATTAGACTGGCCCCCACTGTGTCACATTCTTTTTTAATGAATTCGAGTTATAATACGTTTTTTGGGGCAGAAAATGTAACACTCAAATTGCGCCCTCATCGTCCACAACTTTTATTAAAATATATTGGAGTGTCAGGCCTATACCATCAGCGTGTCGATGCCATGTGGGCCTATAGGTTCCGTAGTAGTACCACCAATTTGTAAGTATCATTTTGAATGTTTTAATTTAATTAAATTGGTTAATCAACTTCCAATAAAACACAGATCGAAACCAATCGGTTTTCGCTTCTTTAAGACGACAATCCTTAAGCCGGGCACTCACGCAACGTTCTCCATATGCATTCCTGTTCTAATTTTTAATTTGAAGCTAATATCGCATGTAGGGCCTACAAATACAAATTGACCCAGACTAAGCTTTACGCATTGCTTTTGTTTTATAAGTATAAACCTATTAATTAATTATTGCTTGTATTTTTATAAGGTATTTTTAATATGAAAATTAGAACGATAAAAAAAAAAGAAAACAATTATTTTACTCAAATTAAAACCTGTTTCCTTAAAATCGCTACACTGTCGGTACTGTGTTTTCAGTGCAATCGGTTTACTCTGCAGCAACCCCCGACGGAATCGGGAAGTCTCCCCGATTCTACGGACCAATCAGCAGCACCGAAAGTAGCGATTGTATGGCATCCTAGCATAATACAGGGGCGGATCCAGAGATGTCAAAAGGGGGGGCCGAAAGTGGGGCCGAAATTTGGGCCGATCGAGACAACAATGTCCTAGGGGGTCCGGGGCATGCCCCCGCGAAATTTTTGTGTTCTAGACACTCGAAAATAACATTTGAGGCGTTCTGGGCTATCATTTTTTCTTTTTCTTTCTTTTTTTCTTTCTTTTTTCTTTTTTTACCTCCTAAAAGGGCCGCCCCCCCCCCACTAAATCCGCCCCTGTAATAGGTCCGTATTAAAATGTATTTAACTCAGAGAAAGTTGATATTTTTCTTCGATCTGTAAGTTACTGAAAATTGATAACATATTATTTGGCTCTGTATAATGGGCAATTTAAAGTGTTAATTTAATTTTAGAGGTATATAAACTCAACGTTTTGATTGGAGGTGTCATTAAACGTTATGCGTTTCAATTTGTTACTGATGTTTTATACCCAGAATAAATTCAGTTCATTTAAAACGTGCTAGCCGTCCGGAATTTAAGGGAAAATCATAACACGCAATTGTTAAATATTGCACAATTATGAGAATTTCTATACTTTCTCAGAGTTAGTCATATTACATGAGAGGCCAACTGTATACCATTAACTTTCTTTCTGATTACGTTCTTTCAAAATAAGGTAAGATGGGCCGCACTACTGAAATCCTCCGTGTTTTACGTCGACATACTGATGGCATTAGGCGTCGTGACGATTATATACTCAAATACTTTCCAGTATTTTCTTAGTTTATTTGGCGATTTTATCTTATCTTAACAACAAACACATCAACATGGGCATTGTTTGCAAGTTAACAGTTTTTTAAATGTATTACGGAAGAGCTCGTTTGCAAGTGCATAACATATCGGGTTAATCGTTGAATTGATGTAACATAGCCAGTAACTCAAATTGAATATGGATTCAGGAACCGAGTCGTTGTCCCATGATTTAATTATTACAACTGTACAATATGGGCTCCATGTTAAGAAAAAAGCACCGAGAATAAATGAGAGAGTCCGGGTAGCTTTTCGCTCGCTTCTGCTTTGGCGGTCGCCCCCCGATCGCTTCTTTTTAGACTGTCGTTTTGTGTGTTCAGGCTGCTTTTTCAATAAACTTTGTTTTTTCTCGTCTTCTGTTTTTTTACGTCCTGATGATGGTAGTTTACTTTCCAGTTTCTTGTCAGACGATGATGTATCGTCGTCAACATCAGTTTCGGCCTGACGGCTTTCTTGAGGTGCACACTCGCATCGCGTCGTAGTTGAGGCCCCGTTCAAGGGCAGTGCGGAGTACCTAGTAGTTTTGCCGTTACCTGAATGAAAGGCAGAGTCAACATTACTTGTATTGTCAATTGTCGCCAATTGTGCTCCTTGCTCTGTAACAACCGTTCCAACACAATCTGGATTGGCATTACTACGTGCAGTCGCGTTTAGCTGTTGTTTATTGCGTTTCTTTCGCGTTAGTCCACGAATGATGTAGTAAATATACGAATACATAATCACCATACTCGTTAGCGGTATCCAAAAAACGCAAATGGTTGAAATAGTCATAAATAAAGGAGATTCGTACATAAATTGAATGTAGCATTGATTGGCGGGTCGAGGTTCGTTGTTAGGGTAAAAATATGGCCAACCAATGATAGATGTAAAATATAGGAGAATAGGACAAACCCAAGTTGGTATGATCATCATGATGGCGCGCTTTATTGTCATATTGTTGCGATACGATGTCGGGCTACTCACTGACCAAACTCGATCGATACTGATCATGATCAAATTCAAGACGGACGCTTCGGACACAGCGAAGTCCACGGCTGACCAAAGATCACACATAAAGGAGCTGAATGGCCAACATTTAAGAAGAATATACACTGCGTATATTGGCATGGAGAACACGCCGATGATAACATCAGCACAGGCAAGACTCAACAAAAAATAGTTGCTAGGGCGATGCAGACGGCGCTCGATCTTAAATGACATCATCACCATAACATTGCCGCCAATTGTGATTATCATTCCTACGAACACACTGAGTGATATTAACGCCAGCACTGCGTTCGACTTCTCAATCTCCCCATCCACCGGACACGAATAGTTCGGCATTTTCTGAAGATAGGAATAGTAAACAAAAATATATTTCATTAATTTTGATATCATGGTTTTAATATATCATCGTCATCAGCGGCATCAACGTTTTCATCATCGTCAGCGTATTATTTAATATGTGAGCTGTCGTGACAAAATTAACCTTGTGGTACGCCAGGTCAATTTGAAATTATTCAATAAAATATATCTGAAGTGATATTTTGACAAAAATTGGGTTTCAATTTAAATGTTTAAATTTAAAGTTTAATAGGCCTATGTATATTTCATAGTACAAAAGTTCCGAGTTGAGTTACCTTACTTAATGCAATCATTTTTTGAGGCACATTTTGTAAAGCTATTTTAATTCAAAATTAATAGGAAAACCAACACAAACCATATCAGTTGTTTGTCTTTAGAGGCGATTTTCTCTAAGTATGTTTTTAGACATAGACCTATGAACTTTAAAATGACCCTACTCCAGTTTTACTTAACTTAGGAACATGATTTAAAGGCCAAAGTAAGCTTATATATTCATCTATTTAACTATATCAATAACTTATTTTTCATTTTTCGTACCACAAGACTCATTTTGTCACGACAGCTCACATATTATTATTAATATCATCATATCATCATCATTATAACTACCAGTATTATATTAATTCAGCGCACACTCGTACAAGAGCGCCACTGTGTACATGACCGTTGTGACAAGCAGTATTATTATTAACTACAATAGTCGTACATTTAGAATGGCCATTTTGCAGGCGAATACAGTAAATATACCGCAACGCTTCTATTTTTAGGTTAGAATGTATTTGAGTTAGCACGCTTGTATATCTGTAACTTTATGGTTGATATCGTTGTTTATGTTTTGATCTTGCGAAAAGTCTCATTGTAGTTCAAGCTTGGTTCACATTCAAGAAATATTTGGACGAATTGATGCAAGCGCCTAATAGCGTTGCATGTGTTTGAGGGCAAGCAATGCTACTACGCCTAGCGTTGCATGCGTTTGAGCGCCAAAAACGCAACAACGCCTAGTAGTAGCGCTGCATGCGTTTGAGCGTAAGTAACGCAACAACACCTAAAACGTACAATAGCTTCGCGTGCAGCAACGCTGAAACGCCTAATAGTATTACTTGTGTGTGTTTGCGTCAACGCCTCAAGGGTGAACCAAACCTAATCGTTTAAGATGATGTACACTAAAAAATATTTCATTTAAAGTATGTCAGTTGACATTGAGTGATTGAATGACACACAGTTCATGTTACATTTCTAAACCTATTCATAAAGCCTGAAGCATTTTATTCTTCTACTGTTCATCTAACAAAGCAATCACGTATTTTTCATATTTTGATTTAATCTGCATGTCTGCATTTGTAATATCAACTCTAGAAGTTGTCCATCATATAGCATTTCAATTTCGTCTTAAACAGAAACATTCAAATAATATCGAGATTAAAACGTTTATATACCTATCCTATACAAGGAACGTCACCGCAAAAAAAATTGTTTCAATGCTGGAAAATATAATAATAATAATAATACAGTAATAATAATCAAGTTTTATAGACCTGTCTGTGGTTGTACGCATGCGCACACATGACAGTGTGCACACGTAATGTTCGTATCAACATACCCATAAGCCCATGTGGAATAGGCCCAATATTAACCATTTTTATTTGTCCAGGAAGATCGTCTGTCTGTGCCGACATGGTCAGTGATTTGCCATTAATTAACATCCGTTCGAAATTCTAATCAAATTAAAACTAAAGCGAATGTTTTCGAACTGTTATCATCACTCGTATTTTACTCGGTTTTGCTATGGCGAATCGCTTCACATGTCGTCACAGTGGGATTACGAAGGTTGAGTGCGCACTCTAGTTTTCGTAGCAAATCAACCAAATGGTACACTTTGTATCAGCGCACTTTAACGCAGGATCCAATTGCCCGTGCACCTGTGTTTTTAGCGTTAAATGATAATAAAAATGTTTTACATAAGCAATATTTATGTTACGGGATGAAAATTAAATGCACAGTCGGTAAGATGAAAGGTGATCCATCACCAAAATGTTTAATTATTGCAGCGAGTCGTTGTTGGGTTGATTAATGTCTGTGCGCATTGCTGTTCAACAACGGCATAGTAACCTATTTATGATCCGTTTGTTAATAGTCGTTGCGCTGTTAGGCGTATTTGTTTATAGAATTTTGTGTATACATGCACATACAAACATGTACATTCCAAATCTGAGATGGTTTGTTGCGGCGGCATGTGTTGTATGGATTTAATTCCGCCACCCTCCCCGCCCCTACTCCTCCTCCATCATCGTCGCTATCCAGCCGACTTCCCTATATGGGAACCGTAAAGCCTTTCTTTTATTTTTATTTCTATGTCTTTTAAATTGAGTTCTCGAAAATTGAACGTTCATACATGGGCCTAGACCTAAACATATTTTGATCATGTTATCATATTATAATAAAATTGAAATGTAGAATTTACCAAAGATGCATAATATTTTAATATAAAAATTAACGTAGGCCTATTTGTATCATGAAAATATTAATTTCTCGCCTAAAGGTGTTATGGTCTTACGAAGATTTACTTTGTTGAGAGAGCGTTGTCAATGAATTCTAAAAAAATAGAACGACATTGGAAACCGAATGCGAAGAAAGTTACTATCATTTAGAGACGAGAAGGCTATATATACAGTTAAATTAAAAATGTTTTCTAAGGTAAGTTTTTGAAGCGGGAGAGGATGAATTGAATTAAATGCACTCTCAAAAATCCGGAAATAGGCTATAGTTGAAATACAATTATAGCGTTTTTTATGTATAACATATCCGCTCCATTCGGCATCGAATTAGCGCACATTAGGACGTTCCTTGATGGGTCAAAAATTCAGTACGCATCCATTTGCAATTTACAGGACTTCAAATCGGTCACGTGGTACAAATGAGCTTAAATTAAATCCCCGTTGATTATTAACAAGGTGAGATGATTTAACGAATTACATAAACGCATGCGTATAATGATGTAATACCGTAGGTATTGATAATGTGGTCATTTACAAGCTTATACTCCGGAGGAACAAATTGACGCACGCGATGACAGGGGGCAAACCGATATGGGATGTTGTGTCAGTACAGTCTGTTAGGAAACACAATGGTTAAAGATATTGATAGCACGGCTCTTGAGTGGCAAGTTCAATTAAGAAACGACTCTCATGCATTCGTCGATCCCAAGGGAATCAACGAGGTTCAGTGTGAATCTCACCGAGATTTAAATTATCCATCGTGATTGGAAAATCAACGGAAAAGTTATACAATTAAGTTGATCGGTGATCTTGTTAAGGAGATGCACAGAAGTGATGCCAAGAATAGATCTGATTGCCGATACCTGATGAAGCACGTATACAGAATACCGTATATTGATCCCGGCTCTGTTGCTTCGTCGTTCCAGTAACTGATTGCCATCTTATGCTAAATAACATGTACAAACCGTTAAATCTCGGTTCTAGTTTCCAAAGAGCTGATCATGCAGGTGAATGTACTCTTGATTATTTGTTCGTCAGTTCAGGATGCCATTTAAAAATGGCTGAAATAATGTAGGTATAGCAATACTGTAATGACTAACAAATTCCTACGATATCAAACAATCGATTAATCGGAAATTAATCAATAAACCGATTGATCAGTCAATCATCCATTCAATCAATAAATAAACCATTCAGTTATTCAAAAATCGAAAACCAAAAAATAAATCGGAAAATACACAATCAATAATCGATGATTAAAATAATTAATAATCGTTTATCTACCGATGTTCAATAATCAATAAATAAACATGATCTACAAATAAAAATCGATAATTAATACTTTATAATCAGTAAGTGATAATCAAACGATTGATTGAGTTATATAATGATCAATCAATTTAATAAATCAATACAATATCTAAATTAAATTAAAAGTTTTAATAAAACTCATAATAAAATCACTGATTAAATCTCTGATACGACAACAAACGCAAAAATATATTATACGTTACTAAGATTTATGACTCACAAACATCCGCAAAGGTGAGACATTGCCTTTAGTTACGACTGTTGTATTTACAGATGGAGTGATATACTAATGCGTTGAGATGTGTTATTGGATCTAACCTTTGATGATTTTAACCTTCTGCCCGATCTTAGCATTTCGTATTCATTTATGTAGTTGGTTAAATATGTGTTCTTCGTCATTGCAGGTACTTTGCCAATAATCAAACGGATCTCATGCCTACCCCAGGACTCATTCTTGTCTAGATAAGGTCTCTATCATTATGCTTTAATAACAATAATGATGTATATAGTTGTGCGCCAGTATTCATCCAGGGAGAGGCTTATGGCGCATATATTTTGGCTAGGGACCTCAAACCAGCAACAACAGTGCAGCCACTATACCCAGATAAAGTTTTGCCAACCTTAAATAAGATTTTACTATGTTATCTCAATTTATTATTATACTGCGTATTTCAGCTTAGCTACGGTGAAACAATTTTACTTTCAACCAATCAAATACTTAGTTGAACTTAGCCAATCAGCGACGACGTTAACTCCGTTTACGAAAGTTTTGCTTAACCAGAGAGTTGGCATTCAACCGTATATTATACTGTCTTTAATGATTGAAGCGTGCCCTCTACTTAAAAACCTGGGTAAATGAAAAGTGTACTACCTGCTAAATATACAACACCTTAACTAGTTATTATCTTATTTTGTAGATTAAGATTATAGAATTGTTTCATTTGAAACAAAAACTCACAAGTAAAATTATTGCATTTTTGTTTGCCTAATTGCATTAGGCTTAAAAGTGTAATTTAGACTCATTTTTATCGAAGGACTAAAAGTGTTAAATCATATTTCTATTTATTTAGTTTATATTAGTCATTAATATTTCATTATGATAAACCTTGACTTCGGAGCATCAGTCAGCTTCGATATGATGGATCACCATTCTTAAACACTGTGTAAAGAAACTGA